AACTATATTAACTTCGCCGCGGGCGGTGAAGTATCACACGAAACTGAAGGCGTTTTCGAGCGATGACGTTAAATTAATTTCTCTCGATTTTTCAAGGGCGGAAAATCCCGCCCCGCCGAGCGGCAACGGCGGAGCTGATCCGAAGAACGACCAGTCCGGAGATGAAGACTCGATGTGATATGTGAACACTTCTTTGTCGGACATTCTACTTTTCTACATTTCTACATTTCTGCCGGGCCGCGGCGCATTCCCGGCCGTAGAAACATTATTTCTTCTATTACGGCCCCGGCCGGTCGGTCCGGCGTATTCCGTCCATTCCTTTCTTTTTCCCCCTTATTAATTTATTTACTCGGAGCGTCGGGATGTTGAGAAAATGCCGGGGATTTTCCCCCCCTCTTAATTGCTAATTGCTTCTCGGCCGTTTTTCTAATCCGCTTATCCCGAGCGTCGCTGCGCCTGCGCGGCCGCGACATGAGCACGACTCCACGACACCCAGGGTTGCCAACGTACGGCCCGGTTCAGTTTATAGTCCCTACAGAGAGAGAGAAGAGAGCCACGAGTTTTATGGAAAATCTTTTGATGTATAATAATGGCGGCGATTCTGGATGGGAGGGGTTCGCTCGGAATGGTCAAAAGCTAACGAAGAGTAGACGGACTACCATAGTGCTCGAATCTGTGCTGCATATCTATTTTCCCTCCGCGGAAAAAATTAAATTGCTGATTTAACAATTCAATTCCTAAAAAAAAGTGACTGCAATGTTTCAACGTAGATTTTACAACAATATAATGCTACTTTAACCACTAGTGTAAGGTAATTTAATCACGCGGGTGGTTAAAGTAGCACTTTTGTGTTGTAAAACCTACATTAAACATTGCAGTCACTTTTTTCGGCAATTGAATTTTTTCCATGTCGCTAATCTGTTTTTCCAAGCGCCTTCAGTTTCGTCGGCTAGGCAAAAAAACTACCGCGGCGCTCGAATAGTTACCTACCCGGCGTTATCTCGTCAACAACCTGCTTCTAGCTCGATAGCCTTTCATTTTTTCGGCTAGGCAACAAAACTACCACAGTGCTTGTATCTAAAAAATGTGTTGTTTCTCATTCTTTGTTTTGCCAGTATTTCACCTGCACCTACAAATCGTCCAAAAGTTGAATTTCGTAGGTATTTTTGCGTCGAAATGAAGCAGTAAACTACCGATGAGCTTAATCTCTACCACCGGCATATGAAATGCACTAGGACGGACCTAAATACGGTTGTGCTTTGTATTGAATAAAGTTTCATCGAGCAAGCTGGCAACGTTGTCGCGAGTTCCTGCTCCGTTTAGAAAACCTTGCGATTTTCAGTTTTGCGACCTTTTTGAGCATGCCGACTTCAATTATCCCCACCCCTCCTCCCCGCGCGTAATGCGTAACCCCCGGTTCCCTGCCGCCAGTCCAGTACCCACCTCTTCGTAATCGCACAAATGTAATAGTGCAAGTGCAGGGATATGTAAGTGTGTGCGAGTAGCCGGTGCACTTCACGTGCGACCAGTCCATTTGACGGAGTTTAAAGATGGAAGTTTTTCCTTTTTTCATTGTTTTTTCTCCATGTTTATTTGTACTAATAGCGATAATTATGGTATTGATAAATTTTAAATGTAAAAATGGCACTTTGATAACGCCTGATTGCTAAATGTAACGCAAACCAATGGCGGTGAAAGCTTTTAAGTCCTCTAATTCCGGCTGCATTATTTAGTTCCATCCATTTTCTTCCTCTCCCCCTTTTCTTTTATCAGAAATTGCCACTGAGCATTAGTTTAAGTATGCCCTTCTGTTTGAAGGTTGAAATCAACGAGAGAGCAATTAAATTGTATACAACTTATGTTCAGAGTAGAGCTATCTAACTTTTGCCCTATAGAAAAACACATGTAGAAATTTATAGCATACTCGATGTTTTTTTCTGGAACTGATGCTCACAAATGATATTGTGAAGCTTGTGCAACTACACACCACAAATCTCTGAAAATATTGCCCGGGAAAATGTTTGGAAGTGGACAAATGTTGGGAGAAATTCGTCAGAGTTCAGGATTTTTCTCATGCGCATGAATAATACGTCGTGTATCATAGGTATCATGAAATAAATGAAACAAATTAAGAGAAAAGGGAAAAGCAGGGAGAAAAAGAGGAAGGAACAGGAGAAGAAAACGAGAGAAGGAGAAGAGGAGAGATAGTAATAAGAGGAAGAAAAATGAGGGAGATAAGAAAATTTTCATTCGTGTTTTGAAAGTAATAAATTGTGAAAATTGTCGAAGAGGATGCCAGGTTCGGCTAAATGAAGTGGATTCCCAAACTATGCGCCAACATCTTTAAGGCACACGCTGGCTGTATTCAATTCTCTCTCTTCCGATTTTTTCGCAACTTGCTGGCCATTCGACCACCATTTTCGCATTTAAATTCATTATTTTACCAATCAATTCAACCGGTCAGCAAGCGAAGTATTTCGATGGGAAACGTCCACGGCAGTGGCGTGGCGTAAATGATCGATTATCGATCTTCCCCCATTTGAACCCGTGGTGAAGAATCGATTATTAAGGTTTTCGCTGCGAACACCCTGTCAATCGATTCTTTTCCATAGGTTTAAATGACAGATCACTCGATATATCGCGAAGCACGCCACGCCACTGGTCCCCGGACGCAGAGGGCCAGAGTCCGCGAAGAATTAAATCAGCCATTCACTTTACGTGCTCGCCCCGTTTTTTTTTATTCTTTTTATTTTTCTCCTCTTTGTTTTCGAATCGAGATTGGGCAGGAATCGCTGTGCCACTCCGTAATCTTGATCCGAGGAACCATCGATGTTCGATAGGCTGCACGTCTCCCCGAGATTTTTATGTCCCACCTGGCTACCGACCATTTAATTATAAAAACAGGAGTAGTGCCGTAGAAACCCCGCATCATCAGCGCTTTATCATTGCGGATACGCGTCTCTTTCGTTCCGTGTAGCGGGAACGACCGAGAACCTGTGCCTCATTTGTAAAACGTCGATTTTTTCTTCTTTTTTGGAGAAAATTAGAAAAATAATGAATGTTCTGCCGGAGAAGGTTTCGGGTTATCTCGCGTGTGCATTGCCGTGGAAGGGGGCTGGCCTAATGAATAATTATGAAACGCACCTGTTACCGGTTGATCTCAAGTGACTAAGTTCGATCGTAGATAAGTATTTTGAGTTTTTTGGCTTATCGATCAAGTTTTTGGCCCATTGAAAATTGAAATATTGGAAAATGCAAATCCGCACGATGAACGAATCCAAAGGTTTTGAGAGTAAGGAAGAGCTTTGATAATCGTGTTCTTTTTTTTCCGCGGTTTTGAAAACGCGCTTGTGCTGCCAGGGACTTCCACCGCATCACTACCTAATTTTTAAATTTCGGGACGAGATTTTCCTTTCATTTGCGGGTCAACGGACTCGAAGCCTAGGAAATATCTCTAATCTTCACACGAAAAGAACGATATCGTCATATTAGTAGCGTATGCAACGGATACGATTTCTCGGTGCTTTCTCACCGCCTTTTCTGTGCGCGGTGAAGTTTTTCCCGCAAATCGTGGCGAGCCGGACTATCTCGGAGCCCTTAATAACTCAAGAATGAAAAATGCAAGGATTACGACGAGAGAGAGGTTTCAAATAGTCGTATCCTAAGCCAATGTAAGAAGAGCCGAGATGAGATGCACGGCATCGTTGCCAGTCCTCCCGGAAACCCACGATTTTCCAGCCGTAAAAGGTTGTGATTATCTTTTTACGACGCGTGGCAACTTCGAGCGCTGGTCTTGAGCACCGTGCAAGAGCCGTAAGTCTTCTTTGAGCGTTGAGAAATCGTGCAGCCTGAATACCTGGGCACGCGGGTGCCGAACCGCCCGGAATAACCGGCCGAGCCAGCGGGAAAGTTCGGGTTATGCGTGCGCACCGACAACTTGTCCGCACCCTTCCTCCCCGCGGTCGCTGCTCCGACGTGGCTTCCACTTTTCAAGTATTCCTTTGTAGCCGGAGAATTCCTAATTACATTAAGTGTTAAGTATTCTCACATACATACTTACCTCTCGAGCCCTGAACGGTGGTGTATGTGAGTGTATGGCGTCCGTTCTAATAGGCGAACAGGAGTCGGGGGGAGAGTAAACATAACTGATTGCTCTCTTTCTCAAGCTGATGACCTATGGGATGGTGTTTCTGACGACGCTACTCGAGATTTGTTTAAAGTGTGAGCCCTCGAAGCCTTTTAAAAGATCCTCGAGCTAGGATTGTTCGAGTTTTGAAGAATTGCAAACGTGATGTAACTTTGCGGGCTGATGAAATTGGAATTGATAGACAAAGAGGTCGACGAGAAAATGAAATTCTATTGGTTGAAAAGGGTTGATGCCATAGACTAAAAGGGAAAATGATGGACTAACTTTAGGGTCGCTCGTGATCTTCTGCGCGGTAGGCTCACCTTTGTCTATTGCAACTACTTGCTTTTCATTTGTTCTGTTGGAATTTTCTGCTCTTGTACATTTAGAGTGTGACCCTTCCAACAGAGAGTGATTTTAAATACAATCGAATACATACCGCACCTCATACTGGAAAAAAAAACACATTGGATCTAGAGTCCAGACTCTTAAAAACATCGACAAGAAAAAATACTCTTGATTCAATCGGATTTTTGCTTAAATCAAAAGGAAATCCGCTCAAATTAAGAGGCTTGGTTCTTGATCTAAGCAAAAATCCCATTGAATCAAGAGTATTTTCTCTTGTCTATGTTTTTAAGAGTCTGGGCTCTAGATCCAATGTGTTTATTTTCCAGTGTAGTATATTATTTTTGAATTATTATGATATTATCAATTTGAGCGAGAATGGTCCTAGTCTGTACATATGAACCGACACTTACTTTTAAAGAATGATTGATACTGTTTTGTAACAAGTGAAAAGACTTTCCTTTCCATTCTTTGTTTCTTCATTTTCTCTATATTAAACATCTAATCGTAATTTTATTTTTTGTTTTAGATAATCTTGTGCGTGGCCGAGCAACTGCCAAAATATAGGTAAGAACAAATTTTATATTTCCCTTACACATGAAGTTGACTAAGTTTAACTGGAAGGAACCATGTCACATCAAGATCGAATCGAGAAATAGACATTTGAAGGTTAATCGCTTAATTTTACTGAGAGCAACACAGACTGTCCCTTTCAAAATATCATTCTTTAAATTTTTAAATTTTTTTCTAAGAGAAAATGTGTAGCAAGTTAAGCTCAAAACTACTCCTAACTCATTCCAAAACACTTTGACCTGGTTCCGTCCTGCGTATCTCATTCCAGCCGTAAAACAATTGATCTTATTTAGCTTTTAGATACATGTAAAGCTTTCAGCATTCTTTAGAGAAATTCTTGTCCTCTCTCTGAAAGGCAGAATTCGTCCGAGTTCAGTCCAACCCCTGTGTTTTCGTCTGATCAAATGGACTAGATTTTCCAATAAGGAACTAGTATTGCTGGTTCATCCACAATAAAACCTATCTACGTAGAGAAAATAACGGCAAATACGTCGTTACTAAAATGAGCCTGTCATAGTAGTTCCTTATTGCAAAATGTGGTCAAATTATATGTACTGTACATGCACTGAGATGTTCAAAGGGGAATTTTTTCTCTCTCAGCATGAGATACGTTAGTCATTATACGCCGAGATATTTTCGGTCGTTGCGACTGCGAGTGATGCACATAAAATTTACCACCGCAGAGTCATCTAGTTTAATTGCTAATTCAGCCGCACCGGCTGGAAGCTTAGTTCCATCTCCCATCTCTATCTCTTTATTTTCATTCTCGTGTTTATGCTCCGGTGGAACCGCGGAAAACCCCTCCGAGAACGCGAAGATCGTTCGTACAACAAAGAAAAATTCCAGCGAGAATTTGAAAAATCGTTGCCAGGGAGAGGGGGTGCTCTGGGAAAGGAATCTCAAGATCGTAGATGCTCGTGTTAATAAACCCGACGATGAGTTGCCGGTCTTTGTGTGAATTGGTAAAATTTTTCCACACATGGGAGGAGGAAATTCACACGTGAAAATCGGAATAATTTTCATCTGCATGCTGTGGTATAACCTTGTCCCGAAGAATGCCAGACATCCGAGTCGTGAACATAATTTCGCTCTACCCGCGATGCACGCCTGACATCGGCGGGGTAGTGTGGAATTCCGCTTGACGGCAACCCTGTATCGGGAGGAAAAATTTCAGCCGGAGAGAGGCTTTGAACTTGGCATAGCTGACGTTGCTGGAATAGTTACTCTTGAAGCCCGTCCTGAGGTTTCTAGCCTCAGCCTGCAGATCGACTTAGATGAGAACTGATAAGTCGATCGCTAAGTCGATTACGCGCCGAAGTTATTGCTGCTTGTTGGCTCCGGAGGTACGTATTATTACCGACAGAGTAGCCTACAGTGTCTGCAGGTCTGAAAGACATTCAGACCAGGGAAGTTAAACTATTTGGTGAAGAGAACGGTCGCAACGGAAAATTAGTCTGTTTTATGACAAGAAGACGTGGCTGAACTCGGTCTGCACTCTGAAATGGAAATTTTTTGCACCCTTTTCACCACAATCTCTCTTACAACACCGGAAAAAAAGTCACTTGGATCTAGACTTTTAAAAACATCGACAAGAAACAGTACTCTCGATTCAATCGGACTTTTTGATTGAATCTAAAGGAAATCTGCCTAAATCAAGAAGCTCGGTTCTTCGATTCAAGGAAAAATCGGATTGAATCAAGAGTACTTTTTCCTCTCGATGTTACTAAGAGTCTGGACTCTAGATTCAAGCGACTTTTTTTTCAAGTGAACTTTGCATCCATCCGGGTATGAGTATGGACCGGAGAAAGGGCTCCAATCAGGGTCGAGAACCCTCGAAATCTTCTCATGGTCAGCGAATCGTGAGCCGCGCGTAGGGAACCGAAACCCGGTGCGCATGCGCATTGCAAATTAGCCGAAGGCGATGCCAATGAAAATTATGTTGTCGAGCGTTGCGCTGCGCAGCGTGCTTTTAATGAATCTTACAGGACCCAATTAGGACGTACACGTTTACCCCTCCCGTGCCCCCTCCCCCTCCCCCTCCCGTCACGATCCCTTTGTCTCCGTCTCGTGACCTTCGCGTTGTCCCCGATCGGAATCTGGACGACTTTTTCCGCGGGAAATGCAAATGAAAATAATTAGCCGGGCCACCGTCCATACAGCACGGTTCCTAAGTTTTAGATCCATGCACAGTGCTCCTTGATTACCGTCTCAGTTGGAGGACCCTCTCTCAAAGTTCTAATTTTAATCAAGGACCCCGTAAGATCTGAATTTAATCAAGGGGTTTAGAAATCATGTAGGTGGTCGTCCATATGAAAACATGATCCTTAGGCACAGAAAGTCGAATGAAAGTTTTTTATACCAACGCGTAGATGGTTACTCTACGAACATTTTGGGACCAAAAATTCTGGAAAATATTCAACCGAACTGGAGTTATGATGGTTTGAAGATCGAGTTGAAAAAACGTAGTTTTCAGAAGGAGCCTTTTGAACATGCCTCTTTTTAAAATGAAACTTTTCCCGTAACTGTAGGAATTTACTAAGGTACCCACAACTTGTTTTTTAGGATACAAAACGAATTTTCGCTCAAAACCTCAAAATCCGATTTTTCGACCTTACTCAACAAAAATCGCTCTTTTGAACATTTTTACCTCTACACACCATGGTCAATTCTCTTTCCTGTGCGTGGATCTCCTTTTCTTCAATAGTTCTTGTTAACCGCTTTTCAATACTTCAGCATAAATAATATTGGTTCTTTTTCCAAAATATGAGACCAATCATCATGATCCGAAAATCACTTTGGTCTCCGTGAAAATGCGAACCTGAACCCCCCTCCCCCCTCTCCGATCTCGTAAACTCCTCCCTGAACCCCTCAACTGTTTTCTCTGCTTTTTCAAACGTTACACAATGAGATTAATATGTGGGATACACTTATTTTAACTCTTGAGCTGCTCTAATTGCATACCCATTGAAATGCAGGCAAAAATAAAAAATTAAATACCAAGGCATGGGTATATTGTGTCATTTTGAAACATCGGAACACTCAAATAAGCCTACCTTTCCACTGTTGATCTCTCTGCCATCCTTCCCAAGACAAAATTCTATTAATCCCGCGGATCGGATTTTTCGAAACGATGCTCGATTTCACTCACAAGAGCGCTATTTGCCCTTGTTTCGGCCGTAGCCCACCGTGCCATTCCCAGTGCGATACCCCTCAGTTTCGAGACACGTTGTATTGATTTCCCTGTCGGGTAGGGGGGTTCGCGGCGATTCCGTGCGGGTCGGCCAGTGCGGTGTCCAGGTCCACGATGAAGGGCGATAGGAGCGCAGCCGGAGTGTGGCCGGTCGTGACGCCGCGCCGTGACCATCGATGGACGCTGCCCGATGACCGGTGAGCAGCGAGCAGCCCGCACCCAGCCACAGCCTTTCAACGGCCATCATCGCCGGGCTTCCAGCAGATAACGCTCGTCGAGAAGAAAATGTCCCTCCCGGAGACCTCCAACCGACGACTTCCCATAGCGCCAGACCTGCTTCCGAGGACCGACCATCATACTCGCTCCATGATGAATGGTGAGAAACGAGCCGAGTGTTTTGTCCTGCGAACCAAAGCTATTGCTGATTATTTCACTTGTCGCAAATGACGGTCGGATTGATGAGCTGCGACCGCATCGATGACGCTTATACACCGATCTAGTAACTGTAAGCCCTGGATAGACGATCAAATTCCGAACCAATTCCGATCAAAGTAGACATGCTGATGACTGGTGGTGGTGGTCACCATCTACCATCAAACTTTGACGGGCCGCACTTTTTTGTTCAAAGTAAGATCAGAACGGAGTGCCGCACCATTCATCATTTCCTGCCACAGGCCACAGGAAACATTTCTGCCAAGTTTTCATTTTAAAATGAAGCAAATTAATGAGTTTAAGACTGATGACTCCCGACACTTTGATGCTACTTTGATCGGAATTGGTTCGGGACTTCGATCGTCTATCCAGGGCTATACGGGGATCCTATGCCAACAAAATGGTGTATTTCGTAACACACTAGGAGCAACAATAAGTCAGGACGAAGATCGTGCCTAGGAAGAAACTCGAGCTTGTCATTTCGGTTTCCATTCCAACGACTGAAATCGTTAGCTCGAACTGAGATCGAACGGGTGCTTTTCAGCTTCCACCGAGCTTTAAAAGTCGAACAATTAATCGTAATAACTCTAACCAGCTTTTCCATGGAAGTGACAGAACTTTCTCGCGCAATCGGTCGATACTCCTGTTTCCCCTCGGAAACATTCGAATCCTCGAGATGTTCGGAGCCCCCCCTTTCGGGAGGGTGCCGGGGGTGGGACGGGGGCTGATTTATGCACGAGCCCTGGATCCAAGTCCCCGGATCCCGTCGTGACTCCCCGGCATTCCTAATCTTCTATCTCTTGTTTCGTGCCTCGCCCCCCCCCCTNCCCCCCCCCCCCCCCCCCCCGTTCCGCCCCCCGGCGGATCGGTTCCGCTGATCCGAGCCCGGCGCCGTGTCGATCGCCACCTCTTGTTCCGAGAGAACGCCGAACGCCACGTCGCGTCGCTTGGAAATAGAGTCAAGTAGTGTTTCGTGAGCTGGTCATGGTCTTCGACGTCGAGTCCGACTTGAATCGTCTGCCATCACACGACCCCGACTGAAACGGACGTATTTCTGCCAAACGGAACTATGTGCATTAAGACATGAGCCCTGAGACCCATAAGAATGTATGCATAACAGGGGTAACGTTCTAATACACATAGTTCCGTTTGACAGAAATACGTTCAAATGTAACTTAAGGCACTGCCACGCGCAGTCTCGAATTCTGCCGTGCTAAGGAGGAACGCCGTATGAACCTTCGGGTGTTGCCAAATTTCCCTCGATAAAACGCAAATTTCCTGGTCAACTTATGAATGTTTCTCTTCCGATTTTTCAGATAATTTCGCTCACAATTACACCGAAAAGTCCTGAAAATTTCAAGGGAAAAAATTC